CCCCAAAACCCCAAAACCCCAAAACCCCGGGTGAGAGATAATTAATTGAGAAAGGATAAAGATGAAAGTGCCTAAGTGTGGATATGCAGGGGATTGAGGAGGAATTGAGTATTTGGTGAAGAGTACACAGGATAGTGTTTTTATGGAGGATTTGTTTGTGTGTGCCAATTGTTTGAATTCGAGATATCCAGGAGAACAGTTTGTTCAGGTTCCGAAGCCTGATGATATTCTCCATTGTTTGGATTCAGGTAAGATACTAACAAGCTTACTTATTGTATATGGAGGTCTAATCTCACTCTTTGAGCTAGACTTATTCAATTTGATATATTTTTGTGGCTCAACTATACGATTTTAAATTTCCTTGGATCAACAAATTTTCTCTAGTTTTACAACTTTGTTGGAAGCTAAAGAGCCGTTAAAAATTTTAACGATAAATTTTTATTTAGTGGAACACAACCTGATCAAAATTGAGCATTTCAAGGAATGGCATAAGCTCGAAAAATTATGGAGAAAAATTCTTCCTGATTTGGATGAATACAAGGATAGACATCGCCAGCTCAACTGTAAGTTCTTTCCTTCAAGGTCATGTTTTTATTCAACTCTTGTGCTTCAAAGATCTTTACATTTGGATGCAATTTTTAATATTAATGCTGCATTTATTTCTTCTTTTGGACAAGATCTTACCTAAATTAAACACTAAGCTCTTAGAAATATGATGAAGGCGTTACCTAATACTTCATAGCTCCTCTGTCATCTTTGAGTGTAAAACCCTGAGCTTTATTCCAAAAATGTTTCCAATAAACTCCTTGCGAAAAATTTCTCTCTTTTTCCTCAACTGGGTTTTATTTCCACAAATTTAAATAACAATATCTTTACAGGTGACTTAGCATCTGCAAAGTCTACAAATAGCTGGGAAAGTTTGCCCTACCTTCACATCGAATCTCGGGTACTCCTTCACACTCTATTCGAGTCGCAATTATGGAAAGAATATTGTAAGGAACAAACTTGCCGAGAATTCCGAGATGCCAAGCACGGAACCAGGAAGATGTACAGTGCATCCAAGGTTTGGGTTAATGGACAAATGATGAAACTCAGAGATAATATAGCTAACTCAGAATATGGAAGACTCTCCAAAAAATTTGAACAGACCAGGAAGCAATGTAATGACCAAGAAAATTTGATTAAAGAACAACAAACAAAGATTGCCCAACAGAATAACTCTAGTATGCTCAAGGAAATAGAACTTACGAGGATTAAGGAAGATCTTCAGCAAAAGAATGAAATTATTAACAAGGAAAAGACAAAATTTCAAGAGAAAAAAGAGCTTATTGAGAACCACAAGACCGAAACTGAAGAACTAAATAAGAAGATTTTAATCCAGAACGAGTTGTTAGATCAATTAAGTCAAAACAAAATAAATTATGAAAAAGAAATTGAGCGTCTCACCTACGAAAATCAGCAGTCCAAAAAGACTCAACTACAACAACTCAAAGAAATCGAGCAATTAAATCATGAAATAACCAAAGGAAGAATCATAGCCAAGAAGGAAGAAGATAAAACACAAGATTTTAAAAGTAAAGTTTCTGTAGTTACGTTCCTGTATCGATAATTTTCAAAAGGAGCTCTTTAATCTATAAGCTAAAGTTCAATTGCATTCTATTTGCATGCCATTAGCAACAAAGTGATAATATCTTCTACTTCTTTGGAGCTCATTCCATATTTCAGCTCAAAAGCAGAGGTTTGGCTTTTATGTTAATTTTCAAATTTAGCTTGTATACTGTAGATTTTGAATATGTTCAAGTCTTGTTGTGTTATTGAATATAAGCTTGCTCTTAAAAATTAATGCTTTTAAACACATGAAAGCGCTCTAGTGTCTCACAATTTTTAAGGAATCTATATTTATGTACTGATAAGTGTATTAAGATCTATTGTTCCTCATTCTTTGAATAGTTTTAATAAATCATCTTATTTAAAATTTGTATGTATGATTTATATAGAAAAACAACAAAAAGGTTCAGTATCCTCAGATGTTATCAAATTTGTTCAGGAAACGCATCAGAAAATTAAAAAAGATGGAAAACTTAGTTTTTATTTTTCTGATACAAAATATGAGCAATTGCTTGAGCAGCTTAGTAATGAAATCATGCCTCCTCTGAATGATCTAAGCTTTTACTTCTTAGACATGCTCAAGAATACCCAGGTTTTAACTGATTTTCTTTCGAACTCAATTTGTGAAAGCATTCAAAAGTTTGGTTTATGCATGTTCTCACTATCTTCAGTTACAAAATACAAGGCTTCTGCCATTAAAGTCCTTCCTTTAGTTACAAATGAAGCTTTTCTTGGACCTTTTATTTTAAATCAGAAAGATTTTGAGGATATTCTAGTTGCTGCTCAACATACAAATAAGATTCAGTTCCACGAATGTAAAATTGAGACAGATAAAGAATGTAAATTTGCTAAAAGGCTTAATTCTGCTACCTTCCAAATACTAGATTTTTGTGGAACTGGAGTACAAGAAAGAAGCTCATGGATTGAAGGCAATCATAAGAGGTTTTATAACATAATGGCGGGACTGGCAAAGGTTAAGAGCATTAAAAATAGAGCAATTACTCTAATTGTTCATGAAGATGACTTAGATATTAAAGAGACAAAGAAGACTATGGATGATCTAGGTTTGGACAAAATAAGCTTATTTACCAAACAAGAAGATCATAGTGAATTTGGAGAAGATCAGTATTACCAAGAATTTTAATATTTCAACTTGAATTTCTTAATCTGGGGTTTTGGGGTTTTGGGGTTTTGGGG